GGGGAGTTAAAAGGGCTTGTTTATTACTTTATTTCGGGGTTTGGGTATGAGGGGTCGTTCCACTTGCCAAACTATCAAAAGGGGGTCGCGGATTGAACAAGGTTGAGAACCACTGGTCTAGATCTAGATCTACACATCTAGATCTAAATCTAGAAAAATCTAGATCTAGATAAGTAAAAATAGAGGTTGATTCAGGTCTATCTGAATAGCACTAGATTTCTAGAGAGTAACCAGTGAGTGTGAGGAGGGTGGCCTAACAACAGTAAATCTAGATCTAATTCTAATCTAGATGGCCGCAGCTATTTGAGTCTGAATAGCCTTCCGGCCGTGGCTATTCGGACTCAAACTCCAATGCGCGTGCGCAATCACTATGATGTGAAGCAGACCAGCAATTCGACCTTGGCCTTCCATGGTTGCTACCCGATCTGGCCAAGGAACTTACAACAAATGGACGCTGACCGTCGTGACCCAGTGCAAACTGTGGTCTTTTCTTTTCAAAGGATAATATATAATAGGGCGATTTTGTAGTTTCGTTCGTTAAAGTCCAAAGCGGAACGCCAGAAACTCTGAATTGCCAGGTAATTGTTGAGGAGTGAACTAAGCGTAAGACTGGAAGGAAACACTAATCTAAGTAAAGCCAGAAAATCAAAATTCAAGCAAAGAATGGCGCTCTATCGGCAGTTCCCACCCCCCAACTATTGTTTGCCGGTTTGGGCCCCAAGAGTCAAGAGTGGGGAGGTTTCAGGGCCTAATTAAAATATGGAGGGGGGGGGGTGTTCAGGGGTGGAGGGTTCAGGGGGGGCCCCCCTGAATTTTACCATAAATTGATGTTTTGCAGAGGTTGCATCCCTGTTCTTTGTGTTGCCTATTTGGTCAGATCAAGACTTCCGGATTTCTTTTCTGGATGTAAACAAATGGATTGTGGACTTTTAGGAACGGAACTACAAGATTATCTATAATGGGCCGGGCAGTGGGCAACGGTATGGGAGGGAATATATAATGCAAAAAAAGGGGTGAAGGTGGTGGGGCGGGCCTGGGGAAGTGAGATGGAGAGAGAAAAAGTAAGAGAAAGAGAGAGAGGAAAAGACATGCGATTAAACATAGAACGACGCATCTTCCTAATTGGCTGCTAATTTTAGTAATGTGATGTCATCACTTCCTGGGATACCCACAGACTATTTTAAGAAGGCTGTGGAGGTACCGCATGGAATGACGTGTTTTTGGTATGTTAATAACATTTAGGAATTCCCAGATCTAGTACTTGGACTTGATGGAAGATTGCTTCTAAAGATCGTTGATGCTCAGAATAGAAGTAACGCTGATGCTTAAAATTGGAACACAGTAAACGCAAAGACAATAAACCGCATGAAAACTGCCGTAAAGATGCCTGAGGTTTACCCCTACCCCTTCTTGCATAGTTCATCGCTACACACATAAAAAAACCCTACAAAGCAACAAATTATATTTTATGGGACAAACTATTGGTTAGTCGGGAGGAGGAGAACAGAAAAAAAATACCTTCTGGGACCGGGATTCGATCCCACGCTCATAAAATAATTGTATGACTTCAAACGCAGACACGCTGTCCATTCATCCATCAGAACTTCCGACCGCGAAAGGTAGATTAAGCTTGATATACATAGACACTTCCATCTTTGGTGCCATGCGGTTGTCTATATTTAGATAAAGTACGTGATCGGAGGGGTATCCCGGTCTGACGTCAAACAAAATGGCCGCCTTGCCTAAAAATATTTTGCGTTCTACGTTTAATCGCATGTGAGGAAAAGTAAGAGAGGGGGTGGGGGGGGGCTGCCTTTATAAGGACTGATTATGAATTTTATGTTTTGATCCCTTTGTAGTCGTGAAACGCAGTGTAATAGCCTACCAGTAGTTTTAAAGTCCGAATAGCAACGGGAGACTATTCGGACTCAAGTATAGACTTCGCTTACGGTACAACCGGTGATTGCGCACGTGCACTGGAATTTGAGTCCGAATAGTTTCAGCGGCTGTTCTGACTCAAGTCCGAATAGCCACTTCGAATCTAGATAGATCTAAGTTGAGTTAGTTTACACCATGGACCACAGTCAACAAAAAACAAGTTGAACAATTGCCATTGTGTGAAGACAGTGAAGTGTTGGACACTGTATTCTAAAGTAGATAAAAAAGTAAAGTAAATTGTGCCATGCAGGTAATTAATCTTGGCAATATTCCATTCTTCTTTGAATGCAAAAAAATAAGGTTATTTTGGAATTCTTTCAGCCTATTGGTACTGAAACAGAACGACTTTTGACTTTTTGAGTGCTGATGATTACCTCTCTTTTCTCCCCTAAAAGGTTAACTTGCAATCATCTTAATTGTTAGGAAACTTCCTCTCATTAGATCTGTATTATTGTTGTCTTAATTTTTAGGGTACTTCTTCTCAGGAGATGTGTTGCTCTGTTGAAATTATTACCATGTGAGTAGTGATAACACAGAGGGATTAGTACATATATATTAAGTGTATGTTTTCACATGTAAACATTTAAAAGCTTTGTGTAAAGTCGGCTTGTTCCATATGATGATGCCCTACAGTTGGGTTGAGTGAGTGTAGAAAAATTTATAGGCTTTTCTGGAACACTTTTTAGCAAAGGGTTTCCTGTTTACTTCTATTATTTTTATTGAATTATATTTTTTTCCAGTAAGAATTTCTGGTAAAGTTTCTCAAAAGTTTGAGAAGTCTAGCAGGAGGACAGGAAAGGGCTCTTGACGAGTTTATGAAAATTGTTCTTAACTCACAAGCAATCTGAGATTACTGTTTTCAAAGTTTGACCATTATTTTCATACTGACAGCTTCACTTTTAATGCTCTTTTTCAGGCTGCAAGTTTTGAAGATACGAGATGCAAATGTGTGTGTGACAAAACTTGGGATGCGAGTGGAAAAGAGACACGAGCAGTCTTTACGAATACCACCCGTAGTGAACAATGGTAAAGTTTTGATGTAGAGGGGGAAAAATATGTGAACAGATAATTAGAAATGGAAAATTCATAATAATGATATCAGAATTATTTATCTCATAAAAGCGTGGGATGTTAACAGATTGATGCTTTGTTTGTATCTTTCTTTACCCCACCCTTTTGTATGATTTATAAGTCCTTGTTTGATTTTTTATAGCCATTTTAGAACCACAGCAATTCCTTTTCATAATTGTAGTAGACCAGATCAGTGTTTTAAAGTGAAGATCAGTGTGAAAAAGTAACTGTAGTTGTCATAATTTGTCCTTTTCAAAGTATAGACAATATATTCTGTTCATGTACATGGTAAAATGAACCTAGTAATAGCTGAATTTCTCATCTTTAATATGTGCAAAGCTGAGGTGGGGGGGGTTTTTTGGAGGGGGATATGTTGGTCAGTGCTCTTGTCTTATTTATAAGTATTTAAAGTCTTGTTTCATGATTGCTAAACCAGCTTTACTTTTTATTTTTCCAGTGATTGTGAGCATGTGGTAAAGCCTTTAGCACCATTTCTATCCTGTTCAAGATGCCTGTGCAGGACAGAAACTAGAAACACTACTACAATTAAGGTTTGTCTGCTTGTTTTTTTAAAATGAGCATTAATGGCGGTTGAAAAATTTAGCCTAAGTGGAGGAGAGTAACCAGGTCCAACAGGGAAAGAAAAAACAAACAAATCCAGGTCCAACCCTTCCAACTGCAGCTATCAGTATGAGCCTAATTTTATGCTTTTGTTTTGTCAGGGACATTATTTTTTTTTTCTAGACTATGAAATTCCATTCTCTCCAACTAGTTCTCCTTCCTCTCCTTTCTGTTGAGAGAGTTTTTGTAATGTGGACTTATGGTCATAAGTATATAATCAAGTTAATCATCATTCCGAACTTCACAAGATATGACCTAACGTTCCATCTATCTATTTTTTTAATGAGTTAGGTTGAAGTATGAACAACAACTTTCAGGATTGAAAGTGAATTAGTCGTCCACCTGGTGCTAAATTGTTTATAGTGTCTTTGTAAGTTGCCAGCCTTTCTTTAGTATGAGATTTAAATCTTTGTGTTTTCTTCATGTCTAAGGTTGTGGTAATCTTCATCATCTGTGTGGTGTCGCTGCTGTTTGTGTACATGCTGTTCCTGCTGTGCCTGGACCCACTGATCCAGAGGAGGCCGACCAGCTACCAGCAGCACACCAACGAGGAGGTGAATTTGGTAACCACTCTGCCGCGGGCTTTCGGCGGCTTTCTTCTCACCATCTCCTCTTGTAGCTGACTGGGAAAACATTTGACAGCGAGTAGCGTAGCGTCTTGTATGTTTCATTGTTCCCTCGGAATAGAAGGAGACCTCTTGAATGTTAATTGTACTTCTGTGAATTTTCTCAAGGCACACATGGTAACAGTAGCAGCTTTCAGATGATACCAAGTTATGTGTCTTGATTTTAGCACATTTGTGCCCTGAACATTTCGTATCCAGTGTTATGTTTATTCCCCCTTCAGAAACCTAAATGTAAGGATCTGTTTTTCTTGTAAAACGTTATTGTATCTTGTAAAAATCGCACGAAATTTTTGTACAAAACAATAGTGAAATAACAGGTTTCTGTGCATTTTACAGTTGAAACTGAAGTTCAGTTAAGATTTTTAACATCGGAAATTGATAAGTGTGGAAAATGCAAATGGAAATACTTGATTTCCAGTTCTTTGTGGCTGTATGTTTGAACCAGTCAGCAAATAGTCTGATTTTCCTCTCAATGACCTGAACTTCCACAATGCTGAATTATCGTACTATGAAGACTCTGTCATACATCACTTTTCGAAATGGCGTATCATGGAGTCTTATACAACTCTGTCGAGATGTTTATGCTGGTAGAGAATACAAAAGAAAGGATTGAAAAATTTTGCACGTGGTGGAAATTCGGGTCAAATGCAAAGTTACTATCGTATACTTTGAGGGATATGAACTTTTTGTCCATTCATGTTGCTTGGGTTATACATCTGTTTGTGTGTCTCATTTTTTCAGTTTATTTTTTTGTGAGTGGCACATATATAGGCTTACCTGTACAGGACAGTCAGATATATTGATGTTAGAGCCAAGTGTTCTTGTGTTACGTTCTGAAGAGAAAGGTAGATAGATACTGTGGACTTCATATTCACAGACATTTGACTCAGCAATAGGAGAAAGGACCCCTCTTTGTTGTTCATCAGAATCAGCTTAAAACCTTTCATTTAATGAATCTTCCAACGCATGACCTCAGAACTAGTGAAGCAGCCTGCGCTTTAAGGCAGCCATAAATGATGTGTCTTTGTGCGTTTGTCTCTCACAAGAAACCCTCACTGCTCTCTACGTAGCGCTAATGATTGGGCAACTTGTGGATCATCACAAGTAAAATGGATATCTAGTTTCGTACAGTGACATATCAGAAACACAAGGTCATTTTGTGTAATTCATGAGAGATCTTCTTTCGAGACAGCAACATATGCATTCTAGACCTGAAATGTCTGGGCATGTGCTGGGGTCTGGGTCAAGTCAAAGGGGGGATCAACACTGGTGCAGAAACTCTATTGTTATCGTTCTGCGGGTATATGGCAGTGGGGAGTTCAGGAGTTATACTCATACTTGGACTGAATGGTTAGCAGGTGTATCATAGTGTCATCGATCATCTTTTTGCTCCTGGACAGTAAACATTAATGGAGATGATAATTTTGTTGCAAGGGGTCTGCAGAACTAAATATGTAGCTGTCTAGGCTGTTCCTTTTGCAAGCAGGCCAATACTTTTGTAAATTTCCCCCTTCATTCTTTCAAAATAAAACGTGGCATCTAGAAGTTGTAAGTGGGTCTTTCAATGGACATTAAATAGAACAGCTCATCTTTTAAGCGGGAGCGTTTGTGTTTTTGTACATTTTTTAAACTCCCTGACAACTTTTAATTTCTCACTTTAAGTATTTCATTGTGGGGATAAGCTAGACATAGCCACAGATTTCACAGTGGGAAGCAGTGGGTTTTTCGAGGGTTAGTTTACACCTTGTGTTGCCCATTTTTTTAAAGTCTGGTTTCAAGCAAGAAGTGGTGGGGGGGAAAAAAATCCAATCATTAGTGCGATGCTTGTGTTCATTCCATTGTTCATCTATTTAACGTTGTACATGTATGTGCCTTGTCCTTTTTCTGAGCTTTAGTTTCTTTCGATAATTGTTCTGAATCTGTTTTCACTTGAGGTCTCAACTTCATCAGAAAAACCATTAAGTGGTTGTCAGATGGAGTGGTGTTTTGGCTTGGGTTTTTTTTTGTGTTCCTCCCTATCCCATCTTGTGTTCTAGTGGTGTCTTTTATCTCAGTCCTGACATTTTTATTTCATTTAATTTTTTTTGTGTCTTTAAAAGCTTCACTCCGAGTCAAGTGTCTAAAAAAGTCATCTTTGCATTGCTTCACAGAAGTGTCTTGGCTTTGGTTTTGGACTTTTTATAAAGAGAAACTTGTTTCTTGAACTGTAATGCTGTAGACTTTTACGTTTTATTCAAGATTGCTGTGACTTGTTCATTTTATCATCATCGTGTGAGTGATTTTTGTGAGCGGCCTACCGTATGGTGTTCACCTAGAAGGAAATAGGAATGAGATCAGTTTGAAATTAGTCGACACGGCTGTCATTGATAATGTAGTTGGATGTTGAAAAAAAAATGCTATTCAAAGCTCAGTTTTGAAGAATTAAAAATTTTGCTTTTAACGGTATTATGTCAGCAGTTGTAATGCATGATGTGCTGAAGAGATGAATTGATTGACTTTGTTCAGAGTGGAAAGGCCATAATAATTCAACCTAGTTAGTTTAAGTGACAACACCTATTCCTGTTCTGAAGACCGTTATATGAGGAAATACCACAAAAGTAACAGTCTTGTCTACATATAATAATATGTATGTGAGTTTAAATGGGTTTAAGCTGATGTGGGTTGATCTAGTAAACTTCTTGCAGTAGATGCACCATTTTCAATTTTTTTGGTAATGTTTCCGTTATTATCTTTTTTTCTATTCCATTGCTTTACGTTTTTACTTCACTCTATATATTTATTTATATACACGCATGGACTGGTTAAAATCAGTGAAATGTAGCTGTTGTTGTGCCTTCTCTAAATAAATGACAGCTTACACAATATTCAACCAAGCTCATTTAGGTCAAAGGTGTTGTATGGAGAGGTTTTAGGTCTAATGTGTCCTATTTAAAGGTTTCTAATTATTAAGTTTTTGACAGAGTTTGAAAAGAATACAGCATTCTCTAGGAGATAGTTTTGAAATTTTGTTTTTTTACGATTCAGTTATTGTCACTGTGCCTTTGTGAACATCCTGTTGTATGAGTGTGTAGGTCTATTCATGTGATCAACATTGCTTGACTCATGTTTATTTTTTACCTGTCTTCTCTAATATTGTGCTATTTTGTATGTTTCTTTTATTACATTTCAGTCGCGTGGAGTGCCAGAGGTGGTTGCATCGTTTCTTATACATTTTCTTTTTTCCTGTTGTTGTGAAGGGTTTTCTTGCTTTCTTTGTATTTAGGCCTGTTTCGCACCCTGGTACTCTCCTTTTGCTTTGAGTTGTATTTTTGCTAGCGGATCTTGACACAATGGGTGTGGTCAGATTGATAAACCTTTTAGTGCTTTATAGTGGCAAACTTGGCGTCTTGCAGTGACACACAGATTTTCTTCTCACTAAATCTCTCGGCTCTTTAACACACATTTCTAGACCTTTTGCTGCCATTGTTTTATTGCTACTTTGAGACCTAATTGCATCAGATCGTTGGCATGGGAGTTTGAAAATATTGTCAGAAATGCTTGTAGCACTTTAGGGTGGAAATGAGGAGATAGGCGCTGCTAATGCCATTAAATATTGTAAAGAAAAACAGTGAATATTGTCGACTCGTCTCATCTGCATGAAGAAATATGTTCATTTAACTATACTGGGAAAAGGTATGGCTACAAGAACCCTATAAAGTTGCCTTAGGGCCAATAAAGCATGCAGAAATATTTAAACATAACTTGGTATGATGTATATTTGTGTATTCTCTCACACTGTGGGAGAAAAGGATGTCTGTTGTGGTCCAGCAAAAAGTATTTGCTTTCTTCTCCTCTTACTATGTTCCCTTGCGCTCCACATAATTGCTGCCTCTAGGTTTAGTATTTTCCTGTTTTGATCTAAGACTGGTTCTGTACAAAGATCTTATTAATGTTCCATATCTTAGAGGTTTACCCTTTTCCTTCTGTCACACTACTCAGTTTATAACCTGTCTACAGTGTGATTTCTCAGCTCCAAACCACAGTAAATTGCTTGGCTTTGGAGCTCTTTAGAATAGAAACCTCATTCTGTTCAGGATAAAAAACCATCCCCCTTTTGGCCATTTACTTAACTTTTAACTCTATCCTAATGAGAATGATTTTCTTTCCCGTGGACTCCCAAAATTTTAACATTCTAAAAGATTCGACAACATTAAAGACTTGCTCGCATATATAACTCTTTCCCTAACGGACCATTTTTCTCACTGTGACCAAGTCACTAAGTAAGTTTGGCCGACATTTTTTCACATTTAACCTTAATAAGAAAAAAATAAACAAATATAGAAATTGATTTCTATCTGTCAGACAGTGTTTAAAAAAAAGTAACCTGAGCTTTAAAAATTGTAGTTCGAGTTAGTCTAAAGACAAGACTGTTTTCATAATGAACGAATTTGTTGAGAAGCAAAATGCGGCTAATGGTAGGGGATGAATTAAAGTCTCAAGACTGTTTGTTCATCAGAGAAGTGTGATTTTGTCAGAGGAAAACTTACTTTTCTCAAGTCAATTAAAATCTTTTTTCTCTGATTTGATCAACTTTGGTCCTCATGTAGTTTTTTTAAAGCCCCAAGAGTCTTAACTGCGTTACCCTCTGAAAGAAAATGTTTTATTGGACAGACGATAAACAGAATGGCTTCTGAACTGGATATTTAGACAAAGGAAGAGATGGGTATAAAGATGGGTTTGGGTATACAGAAAGATATAAAGTGTGCGAGTCTGTCTTGGGCCCCATTTTCTGATTGGTCAAGTAACTTCAAATAATGGCTTTAGATTTGACATCAGTCATTGCTAACCAAATTTTAGTTAGATGCGTACCTTGTGAGTTGATTAGCATTATATTGACCCATGTATGTGTCTTCCCAATCCTTTCCTTTCCTTTCCTCTCCCCCCCCCACCCCCAATGATTGATGGGTAGCAGACTCACTGCACATTAGTAGGAGGTGCAACCCCACTAAGTAGTCAAATAAGAAATAAGTCAAATAATGATGTCACATGTATTTTTACTAAAGTTATTTCTTCCACAATTTAAAAAAATTTTTTTTTTTTTTTTTTTGGGGGGGGGGATGTATGCCTTTGAAATATCCCATTAATGTTCTGTGGGGCTCATATCACTTTATGAAGTTGTGAGCATCATAAAACCTTACTGAAACGAAACGTTAATATTCTGGTAAGGCATTTGATTGAAACATCCTCGCCTGTTTGCATAGTATAGTAAGTTCCTTAGCATCGTTTCTATACACAGTACGTTTCTACAAGTTTAAACTGCTTTCTCTGCCGTCAAAGTATGTTGGATTTAAAAATACCCTGTTGCAGAAAATGTTGATAGCATTTATAATGTTAAACTTTATTTAATTAGTAGGCCTACATATTTTACTAGATTAAGGAAATAAGTGTAAAAGTTGAGATGGTTATTATTCCCCATTTTTTTCCTCATTTGTATCCGATGTTTTGTTTTCATTCAGTGACAAACGCATGTGTTTGTTGACAATCGTGCTGATGAAATAGGATTTGGTTGGGTGTATTAGCCGATAGTGTATGTCAGCTTTGGGTGGTTTTGTATTTGTAATTTGTGGCAATTGTTGTGAGTGAAGTGAACCACGTGGAAGAGTGTTACAGAAATCCAGCCATAATTAATTTGCCCCTATTTAACACAATAGGAATTCATTGGATCCCTTTTTCTAAGGATGTAAATTCAAGCTTGGTTTCTGTTGAAACTTTAATATGTTTTAAAATAGAATTCTCCTCACTTGCTGGTTGAATATGGCATATGGTGTTTATGGGTAGGTGAACATTCTTTTGTCTGATAGTAAATGTACTTGGACTCAGATTTAATGGGAACCCAATTCTTTCACATTACCGTAGGGTCCCCCCACTGATTGCCTTATGATAAGGTCCCACCCTATTCATATTGCCTACGGTGTTGATCTTTCAAGGGATCAAATTCTACTTAATTTTACGATACAATTTGCATGACTGTCTGGTGGCTGTTATACACTGTCTTTTCTATTACATGAACATTGTCAGTATGCCTTTTAAGAATGCCTAACGTCGAATTAACATTCCTAAGCTGATTTATGTCATGGAAACGCTTCCTCTTGGTAGTATTACTTTTACTTTTGGTGAAAAGTATGCATGATATAAAGTACGCACACTGACACATGTTTCGTGAGAACTTTTTACTCTGTGGAATGGGTTGTGGTAGTTCAGACTTTCAAAAGTGGACTGTGAAAGGTTGCTTTTTTCTAAGAGACTTTAGTGATGTGCAATAGAACCGTCAATTTTCTGTAAGTTTGCGGGGGGGGGGGGGTTCAATTCTGTATTTAAACTGTGGTTTAGATATTTTTAAAAATAGCAACTATTCCTTTTGTCTTAAAATATTTAATGCAGGGCAAGGGGTTCTTGCACATGTTGGAGTATACTCATGGAAATGTTTTGAAACAATTGCTAATATACACAGTGTGTCTGGGTCATGAATGCAAGATTTTTTGTTACAGGTTTTTTTTGGGGTTTTTCTTCATTTCAACTAAAACCAACCCGCTTTCCTTTCTTTGGCTTTGATTTGTTCACGATATGTGTAACGAAGCGGTGAAATCAGGCTCTTGTCAACTTTTGGGCATATGGAGTAAATGTATCATCTTAAAGCCTGTTCATTTGCCTTGCTTTTTGTGAAAAAATACCTATTTATCTTGAATAGAAGTGGAAATATTTGCAATTGAAGGAGGTGGGGATCACTGGGTCCAGATGTAAATATAGTGACAAAATGGCTGCCGAAGTCTGGTGACTTCCATAGCTTGAGAGTCCTTAAAAATAATGAAAACTGAAAATTTACAGTTTTTGTCCCTTTAATCAATGTTTTTGGTAAAATCCACACGGAAATATGTTTTCAAATGGACATAAAAGATGTTGAGCCTAAATAAAAATATTTGATAAAACCAGCAGAAAAATGCTGGTTTCTTCGATTTCAGTATTTTGACGAGCGCCTGATTTCACCACGATGCCTCACATATTCTGTTCATGAATGAGCTAACCCCGAACAAAGTACCTAGGTTATATTTTCAAAAAGAAAGGAACAATTTTGTCGCTTTTCCCAAATCCTGATAATTTTTGCTGCCGTAATACATGATATATGCTTATCTGAACATAGCTTGTGTTTTTTTAATCAAAGCTAAGTTGTGAGCTTGTGAGAAGTTGAAGGGTTTGAGACAATACAAACCTGTAGAGAGAAGGGTTTGAGACAATACAAACAGTGGAGAGAAGGGTTTGAGACAGTACAAACTGTGGAGAGAAGGATTTGAGACAGTACAAACTGTGGAGAGAAGGGTTTGAGACAGTACAAACTGTGGAGAGAAGGGTTTGAGACAGTACAAACTGTGGAGAGAAGGGTTTGAGACAGTACAAACTGTGGAGAGAAGGGTTTGAGACAGTACAAACTGTGGAGAGAAGGGTTTGAGACAGTACAAACTGTGGAGAGAAGGGTTTGAGACAGTACAAACTGTGGAGAGAAGGGTTTGAGACAGTACAAACTGTGGAGAGAAGGGTTTGAGACAGTACAAACTGTGGAGAGAAGGGTTTGAGACAGCACAAACTGTGGAGAACCAAGCTGTTGTGCTCATTTTGTCGTGTAAAGGGGAATATCTGACCCCCCTCTCCCAGAACTGTGACAGTGAGGTTGGTTTCATTTCATGATTTCTTCTAGGTGAATTTTACTTTACTGAAATCTGTTGTCTGGCATAAAATTACCTTCATTTAAAAAAATAAAAAAATTCTTCAAATATATTCAAATGCTGATGTGATGACACTCATTTTTTTGTTGTTGTGTGTTTCTGCAGGAGGACATGTCCTCTGGACCCCGCACAGAGGACGCAGCGGCCACAACTCCGACCGGGGCCGGCCCCTCCCCCCAGGCCATGTCGGCCCGCCAGAGGTCCCTGCTCAACATGGTGTCCAAGGAGCAGAAGAAGTGGAAGGGCACAGTGCAGGAGCAGCGCAAGAACATCTACGACAGGCACTCCATGCTCAACTGATGGGTCAGCGCCTGCTACTGCTGGGGAGGTTGTGCTAGTGGGTGTTTCTGGTGTGAATTGCTCCTTCTTTCCTATCAAACATCTTCTATCGTCTTTATCTCCCCTCCTTTTTTTGTGTGTGTTTGTTGCTCTCTTGTAACACCCCTAATCTTCGGCACTTATATGACCTTATTGTGTTGCAAGTGCAGTAAAACACTTACTGAAATAAAAGACGGATTAGCTCCTGCTCCTGCTGCTGCTGCAGAGGTTGTGCTAGTGGGTGGTCGGTGGGTGTTTCTGGTGTGGTTTACTCCTCCTTTCCTATCACACATCTAGCATTCGTATTTTCCATCCTATCGTTTCTGTCTGAAAAATGTCAACCCAAGTTGGATCATTTAGGGGGCGGGCTTTGACCCTGAAGCAGTACAAGTACAACTCCTTAACACATTGGTGACTCTGCCAACGATATTACTTTAACTTTAACTTGGAAACCTAAAAAGAAGTCTGTCATCCTTATCTTTCTCCTTTTTTGTGTTTTTTACTTTCTGGTAACACCCCTAACCTTTGGCACCTAAGGACGTATTGGTGATGTAAGTGCTGTAAAACTTACTAACAAAAAAAAAAGGAGGCTGCTCAAACAAAGCTGACTGTTGTGTGTGTGTGTCTCTTGAGTGGAGTATGTGTTTGATGGTAGTGGTTGGAGGGGGGGGGGTATGCTACACTTGTTTGTCAAGCAATGGATTTTTTCTGTTCTGTAACTTGTTTATTATTTGGTACATGTTGGTTTTGAAATCTATTTAAACTTCAAAGGTTAAGTACACACTGATTTTGACGTATGAGGAAAAACACTATTGTTAATAATACCAATACTCAACTTTCAGTCGTCATTTGTGACTTTCAGTCTGTCAAAAAAGATCATTAGGGCTTACGGTTGTTGTTTTTTTCTGGTCTTGTAATCTGTTCCGAGAATGTTTGAGAATTACGATTATTTTGGATAGACTGATAATTGATGTGGATTAATACTAAACTCATCTGTTTGTTTGCCTTTGTTTACATGTTCGGTCCATTTGGATGTCATTGATTCCCCCCCCCCCCCCCCTCCCTCCTGCCTATTGTATATGCCAACCTATAATGTTGCATTCATTTTTGTATCTCATCTTTGAATTCTGTCCTTTAGATTACTGTATTTGTAGATGAATGGGAGATGTCCTTCATGTCTTCATATATATATATATATATATATATATATATGTATTATTAATGAGATTGAGAATGATGTTATGTTATATGTGTGTGTGTGTAACCAATGATTCTATATATATATATATATATATATTCTTGTGCTCCTATTTTCTTTAATTTATTACTGTTTGTTACCGATACATTCCTGTGGTGATAATGACCGAAAGTATTTACAAAGTAGGCCTATTCTCGCTTAACGTTGCAGTAACCAAATTATATCTGCTTGCACTATTATGGATCTTCATTGTGTGGTTGTAAGTTGTGTTTTGAGAATTTAAAAAAGTATTTAATTTTTAAAATGTGTTTAAAAGTTTACAGTAAACATGCATCGGAATGGAGTCTCATTGCATTACAGTCAAAATAAACAATTTTCATGTGAGAGATGTATGCTTGGTTGGCTGTGTCTTAGGTAAGATTTATTTCTGTCGTTTGAAGAAACATATTTCACAACTCTTTCTATAAAGATAGACTCAACTAAAAGTGAAAGTAGGCCTACTTCTGACACCTAATTCGATTTATAATACAAATGAGACTACCCACTTATGATTTTTTTCTCAGATAACACACATTCCTTCCTTTTTTCATTTACTGTGCAATAACTCTTCAACTTGATGCTGTTATCAAGGAAAGGGAATAGAAGTTTCCCATGCCTAAAGTTTGAAGGCGTCTTGTAATGTCAGTCAAAGTAATACACCCATGGAGAGGCCGTGGTGTCTTTACTTTTTGAGAGATTGCCGCTGTCCACGTGTTTGTGATAATGTAACTTATAGAATGACTAGTCTGGTTAGGCACAACGTTTTGTATGTTTGTTTTTTTTGTTTTTGGCATGTGTCCAGCTGTCGCTCTGTGTTTGATGTACACTGTTGTCAATGGTTGTTTAGAAGCAATAATAAGATCTGATGTAATGTACTGGTTAATGTGGAAGCTTAATAATGCTACTTATGGATACATTAAATATTTGTGGCATTTCTGAAATGGCGAAGTGTTTCACCTTTTTAATAAAGAAAGTTTCAGGGAACGTAACTTGCACGAAAAAGTGCTTAAATTATTTTAAAAATCACTCAGCTCAGTGAAGTGAGCTTGATCAGTTCAAAACTGCAGACTTTAAAATGAAAGTGATTTTTTCCCCCTTAATTTTCCTTTTCGTTAGAAATAGGTCTCACACAGACTATGCCAGACTATGGTATCCTGGACATGTGAAACAGGAGATCAAATGAAAGTTTATTGATTTAGTCACACATGCTTTAGGTTTGTTGGTTTTATGTTATTGTTTATAACAAGTATTTGATTGCTGCATGCTATTCCAAAATCGTAAATATGATGTTCAGTAGTTTTTTTTTGGAGCAGTTGAGTTTTGGTGTCATTATAACATTAGGCTATAAGGCAAGGTCTTTGGGATCTCATTAATTTTCTATCCATAGCTAGAATGTGTTCTGTGAGATGTCCGTACCTTGGACTGCAATCTTCATTTCCCCCAAAGTGATTTTTCCTTTCTTCTAAAACCAAGTGTTCGTTTCCTTCTTTGCCTTGTAATTGTACTAGGGCTAGGATGCATCAGCAATGCAGAACTATTATTAAAGATATTGATAAACAATATTCTTCAGGTAGTAGAGTGTATTGTGTACTTCAAAACTAGCCCTTACTTTATAGTTCTTGCCCTGCTTGAGAAAGGTCATGACTCGTATGGCACCATACCATGTGTCTACTCTCATGTTGTGTGTATATATATAAATGTATGCTATTTCTGTGGTATAGAGATAAGGTATGAATGAGAAACTATTGTATATATGCTCTTTTGCTGACATTTGTTTTCACTTTTTGTTGACATGTACAAGCTCAAAAGTTTTGTTCCTTTTAAAAAAATTGCATTTTGTAGGTTTTTATGTTTGTGTAACCACAGCTGTAAGTTTGAGAAATACTAAAGCTAAATTGTGAGGCAGTGTGGTGAAATCAGGCGCTTGTCAAAACAAGGAAATCAAAGAAACCGGCATTTTTCTGGGCGTTGGGCATTTTAAAATTTTTTTCTAATTTTGGCTCAACACCTTTTATGTCTTTTTGAAAAATGCATTTCTGTGTGTATGTTACCGGGAAACATTCATTAAAGGCAAGAAAAATGTAAATTTCCACTCTCCAAGGATGCTGAAGCTTTGGAAGTCACCAATCTTTGGTGGTCATTTTCTCGCTAATTTTACCTCTGATACCAGGCTGTAAGGCAAGGTCTTGGGGATGTCATTATTTATTTTCTTTCCATAGCGAGTTGAATGTATTCTATGAGACATAATCCATACCTTGGACTTGGACTGCAATCTTCATTTCCCCCAAAGTAATTTTTCCTTTCTTCTAAAACCAAAACCCCGCCTCCTTCAATGGCAAATATCTCGACTTTATTTGAGATAGATGAGTATTTTTTTAGCCAAATGCAAGACGAGTGAACAAGCTCTAAGATGATATTAATAACTCTATATATTCCCAAAAATTGACGAGCGCTTGATTCCACCGCGTCGTGACACAAATGTAGTTTCATGTCTGGGCTGCTTTGTTGGGAATGAATTTTGGTCTTTCATTTTCATTCATACTTTTCACTAGCATGCCATTTTTTTTGGTGCTTATTGTTTTGTAATGATTTTCTTCAAATACTCCTTTAGTAGTACATTGTGTGTACAGCCATGCCCCTGTGTTGGGAACAGTTTTTTTCTTTTGCTGTTATCAAAACTGTGGAAAGTAATTTTCACTTATCGTACTCAGGAAGACATAGTAGAGACCTAACTCGGCTTTGTACCGACTTATACTTACATTTATTATGTCATTTAAAAAGAAAATGTAAAATAATTCCCTGTATAGTTTTGCCTTTTAGTTTTTTGGTCTCTGCATATGACTTTCAGTCGGGCACAGATAACGCGAACTCGCATGACTTGAAATTAGGGATAGCTCAGTCTTACAATATATACCTTTCCTTGTTGACCTGACCACTATATTTTCTTTGTATTGGCAACAATGTTTCTCAAACTCCCAAACAGACTTCTAGATCAAAGGTTTCCTAACAAATATCTCAAATTCAAATTTCCCTGCACTCACAGTGGAAAAATGGAGAGTATCGGGTTACATGAGCCCACCAGGCTTGCCCCTACACAGCATGATACATAATATATACTGCTGGTATGAGACGTGTCATCACAAATTACCTGTAGTAGTAGAACCTACTGTAGGTTCCTATCTCTTGTCCCATTCTGATGACAAAAACAGATGAAAGTGCAAAGAAACTTGGCCTTACTGAACTTAACATGCAAAACAGGGCAGTTGAACAGGCTCAAAAAGAGATAAGAATTCACTCAAACTAAAAAAATTGTGTGCGGCAAATCTATTATAGAAAATCCGTTACTGATTTAGTTCCTGTGTATGCTTTACAGTCACAGCATTGCTGCCCTTGATTTTCTTCACTCTTTCTAATTTTGTGTTGTGTCTGTTAACCTGAAGTATGAATCGGTTGAACACCTGAATTTTGAATCTGTTGAACTCATTTGTAAATCCGCTACGTGTTTGAGATATCTGTGCTCGACTGTACCGTGATATTGTAGTATGCCTGTGCCCTAGTGGCAAGGGAGGCTTTATTATACTTTGTAACCTATTGTAAAGTTTGACATTTTGGTCATTTGGTTTCAGGTGCACTCACACAGGATTTGCCTGTGATAATTTTGGTCTATTGCATGCAAAAGTACTATTTTCCTTGTGATCCTTGTTATCTATTCGGGTGATGGACATGAAGCCCACCAAAATGGTACACAAGATTTATGCCTGAAGAAATAAAGATTAGATTAAAAGTAAAAGTCTGACTTTATGAACTTGTGGTAGGTGTTTTGAGAACTTTAGTTGTATAGCTCTAAATGATTTTCAGTAGTTTTAAATAATTTTAACTGGCCCTGTGGATAAATAGGTCTACCTGCAAGAAAGACTGGTGCATTGATGAGCACTGTCTGTTGTAAATCTATTCTAGGAAAGATGCTGCAATCAGAATAACAAACTGTTTAGTGAATTTACAAGTTGAAATAAAGGGATTGTGTGGTTGAAAAAACATCCCTGTAGACAGCATCTTGTAAAGGAACATTTTTGATTTCCTGAGGATGTATCAGTATAAGGTTTGAAGAAAACTTTTATACAGTATAACACGGATATCTCGAATTTGTTGGGACCCACCTCGGTAGATTCGAGGGATCTGTAGTTTGAAGGATATCTTACTAAGATAAAGAAAAGAAGAAGAAAAAACGGAGACCGCAGGCTCAGTTTGACAAATGAATGATTAAGATTTCAAGTCTTCTGTGTTCTACCTATCCATGTTATACTGTATAAATATATAGACTATGAGTTTCAGGATCGGGCTAGCTTTA